GTATGTTGGTTTTCATTTTAGGAAAGTAAAAGCAGCAAAGAGACTTTCAGCCCTCGCACAGGAGCAAAACTTCAAGTGTTTTCACATATAGCTCAGAGGTCTGTAGCCCAATTTGAGCTGCTTTTGGAAATGCAGCACCACGCATGACAAAGCAGAGTACAAACTATTCCTTTTGATGTTTATTACAAGTTAAAAGATGGGACACAACTAGCCAGTCAGTTTGGCTGTTGCTATGCCAACCAGAAACACAACAGAGACTGGTGGAGTGAACGTGAAAGTTGGCAAAAATTTAACAGGATGAATAAAATTATGTTGCATTTTCACCATCCACAAAATTGTATTCGGCATGCAAGAGCAGTTTTTATTTAATCCTACTAGTATTCACCCTGTTTTAATAATAGGTCTATAATCTAGTTAACTGTTACAGAATTCAGTTCTGCTATCGGAAGAAAACCGATGTTTCCATTTTTCTCGTTTTTCAGTTTTTGACATAATTTGAAAGTGCCTGTTGATCTTCACATTGTGTGTAAATTTCATGATGAATGGACCAAAAGAAATGACCCAAAAATCCTTGGAAAAAGGTCTGGTTCCACTGCCTTACTAAGTAAGCAAAATATGTTTTTTCCTTTTCCTGTAAAATTACCATTTTGGAGATACAAGGTTTTCTTCCAATAACAGTGATGTGTATTTTTTCAGACAACCACACGCAAACCCTGGGTCCAGAACACTGGAGTCCAGATAAACATGTGGGTGTAGCTCATGGTCGTAGCGCTAAAATATGTTTATCAGTCTTTAAATGATTTGACATTCCCTGACCTAAGCCCACATCACACACCCGCTTTCATATATGTAGCATGTGGGCTGGGTACCACAGGGAACATCAGCATTGCCCCTGGCAGAAAAGACAAATGGAGTCATAGATCTGCTTTATGGTGGTAATTAATTAGGTATGACATTGCCCTGAAATCAGCACTTTTTCACCACGATGGGAGAGCACCATTTGTGCACCCTGGCGTGCAGTAACAGACTGATTAAGCAGCCTACCTGAACAGACATCACAAACACAGTACCAAAGGCATGGCTTCTACCGCAATATTGCTGAGGAGAGCATTTTACAGAAAGAGGGAACAGTGTGGAAGATCTGGGAGAGCTAAGGAGTAGGTGTAAAAGATAAAACTTGCAAGACAACGGCCTCTTGATCTTGTTTCACCCACGTGATATTTGGAGCTGACAGCTCTTTAGGTGAAGCCAGACTACTGGCACATACCCAACGTCCAGGAGAGAGAGAGAGAGAGAGAGAGAGAGAGAGAGAGAGAGAGAGAGACAGAGAAGAGAAGGTAGGTCTGTTCATTGTAACGAGCAATAACAAATGACACTCCTTCTCCTCTCTGCTATTCACTACATGGGTGACCTTTGGTTTGGAGATTGATTAAATGCTGTGGCAGTTGATGGTGACATTTTCTAAATGGTAACCCCACAGCTCATTAATAGAGAACAGCCTCGCACACAGAGTGGAGAATATGTTAGCTATCTCCCAAAGTGAGTGAAGCACATGCTATTGTATGTACATGATTGTTCCTTGCCTTTTTCACATGCAGGGGTTAAAGAGAGCACCAAGCAACACCCACTGGATTTGCTTTGGGATCTCTTTAAACATAAAAAGCCGAGATCCATTTTTTTCCCCACTGGGGGAAGCCAGAGCAAGTTCAATCAGAAGCATAATCTTTTCTAAACCTTGTTTAACTTGGCATCAACTAAAACTGGCCTTCACTTACAGTTTCACTGTGAACTTGGCTCTTAACTTTCAGCTGTTGATTTTACAAAACAAAAAAAGAAAGAGGAGCAAGGGCTTTATTTCTGCCTATCATTTCTGTCTCTTTCATTTGGCTGCATTTTAATATGTCACTGTACATAATCATTCAAAAAATTGGAATTATTCGTCACTACTAATCATTCTTGTTTTATTCAATAATAACATTAACAGTGTAGTTTTAAATTGTACAAGTGAGATGCCAGATGTAATTGAAGATAACAATCTTCAATAAATGATTAACACTAATTTCTACACAAATATACTTTTAACTTGATCAAATCCCAAGGCAGATATCTTATCATCACTTTCCAAATAAGAGGCATTCTGGATTTTTAAGTTATTACAATCTCACTCAATGCTGAACAGCTTTCTTGGTTATTAGGGAATCATTTATAGCTACACTGTTAGAAATAAAGGTTCTGGGTACATTTTTCGTTCATCAAGGTACAAACAGTGTAAATGTTCCCTCAAAGGTACAACAGTGGTTTTAAGATCTAATTATGAAACTTAAATACGTTTTTCCAGGTGAAACGTTCGTATTTGTACCTTTTCATAACCGAATGTTTTAAACAGAACAGTAAAATAAAGTCCTGGAGACGAGACGGGGTGTGTGGAGTCAGTACAGCTTAGAACATATCATTTCAGTGGATTATGGTTCAGTTATGTTCCCTGACTAAAGGTACTGAGATGTACCATTGAGGGAACCACCCCAGTGACGAGAGGGGAACAGACCCAGAGACAGTTTTATACCTTTATTTCTGAGAGTGTATGACACATCTAACATTTTTTATCTTTTACAGATTCCTACTAATTAGTGATGAAGTTGTAGAGTAGTAACAGAAGCATTATGTATAAATATCTTCAACAAACTGGTTGAACATTGTTAAAAACAGTGATTGCACACTTTTGAATGGTGGTGTACATCTTCACTGTCATAAAACCTTGTACCTCTGAAATCATAACTTTGTAAGAACAGGAAGAAACGTTCTTAACTTTAATAGCATTCATGTTAAGAGAACCAAGTGGACGGATCATTTCTATACGGCGACAAAAAGATTAAGCAGATTTCCAAGTACCATATTTGTACAACCGTGAGGCGCCTAGGAACCAATCACAATCCAATTGAAAGAGGGGGTCATAGAGTTTCTGACTGTCAGTGGAAGATGGCTCCCTTCAGTCTGAGAGGAGATGAGACCCCTGAGCAGAAAGCGTTCTGCGTTCTCCACTTCAATAAGAGTGAATCCGTCATAACTGTGCAGTGTGATTTTCGTCGACAGTGAAGCTCCAACAGCTCAGAGCGTTCGTCGTTGGTTCCACAACACTGGATGATCTCCGAAATCGCACTGAAAGAGCCGTGAGTGCAGCGACACCCGACATGCTCAATCCAGTATGGGATGAATTTGACTACGGTGTTGATGTTGTCCGTACAGCTGGAGGAGGTTCATACTGAGACCTTGTACAATTACATAATAAACGTTATGCTCATTTAAACCATTTACAGTTTACTGCATTGATCTGTAATGATTTACAAGTGAAATAAATCATTTTGAAATTGGATTAATCTTACTGAATCACCCTGTATTTTCATGACATAAAAGGATTCTGCAATGAAACTGATTCCATTTCAACTATTGTATGTTTTGCTTTGCCTATTAATTTTTTTCTGTGACAAAGAATTTCAGAAACTATAAAAATATGTTAAATAAATGGCACATTAACCTTTTAGCAGTGGCTACATTTAAACCTCCTCTGGTCAAAGTCTGGTTTCATCATAATTCTAGTACAAACCTTCGGTTAGCAGGGTTGAGACTCATCACCAACACTTATCCACAGCCTTGCTCTTGTCAGGAAGAAGCTCCAAAACAGCAGCCTTATATTACCTGCCTACTTTACCACCGGTGAAATCAGTCTCACGCTAATGAGGAGGCTGGAGAAAGATCAGAGTCAGCTGAAATTATGTCTATATAGGTAATCTCATTAGTCTTATCTGCCCCACTCTACTGTGCTCACTGCAGTTTGTTGTTATCAAGTGATATCAAGAAGAAAATGCGGAAATGGAACCAGGAAACATGGGGCACCTGTTCATTTGCTGTCAACTTGTTCAAACTAGATTCTTATTTTGCCAGGTATTATTAAGAAAAACTATCCAATTTGGGAGGCACTCGCTTGTTTCTCCTAGGATCTTTAAAATTTTACTTTCAAATTATTTTAGATCTGTTTGTAAGTTCTGTTGGTTGAATATTTTATCTATTTTTTTGTATCTTTATTTTTCTATTTTACGTACTATTATTTTTAATATATTTTTACTCATTTTATTGTTTACTATTACTATTATTAATATTACATAATATTCTCATTAATATTATATAAATTGTTTTTATTGTTGTGTATTTCTTTAATATTTTTACACATTTCTTATTATTTAATCTTTGGAATCTTTATTTTAACAATCTTAATTTGTGTTTTTTTATTCTTCCTGTGGCTCTGGGTTACATTGTAAATGAGGGCACACCTTCAATGTAAACCCGAGCTTAAATAAAGAATAATGATGATGGTATTAGAATACAGCTATCCTACTTTTAGGTGACTCAGGGATGGTATAATTGGTTGGTGTGTGCCTCACAATGTGCACAGCAACTACTGATGTTCATACTTGGCATTGGGCTCACATTTAAATGCCTTGTTTCTGCAGGTCATTATTTTGTGTAAACTGCCCTGTAGTACTTCAGATTCAATATCACTTCCTAGGTTTAGAATCAGGGATTCAGTGGGTATTGCATGATCATGCACAGAGGGACTGAGGAGTGAGGTGAATCAAGGACAATAGTTTTACCTTGCAAAATACTTTGTTATAAGGCTGAAAAAACTCAATTTGTCAACAAATCCTGAACTCGCTTTTGACAAAAAATATACTACAGTAAAACTACAATCCTGGAGTGTTGAAGTGTATTTGCTGCTCAGTAAGCTTACTGCTGATTAGTGAAATTGGATGAGTACTCTTATTAAATATCAGAGTCTTGATTAGAGTTTTAATCTGGCCTGAAATTTTGGTCCAAATCCAAATACGGGTCCTGTCAGGTTCAAACAAATATTTCAAGCTCTAGTCCTGATAACTGTTTAACTGCTGCATGACCAAGAACCTGGACACCAAACCACTAAAACCCAATCAAATTCTCCTTTCACCCACCTCAAAGGTCTCCAGTGGTTCCCCGTTTTTCAGCCATTTGTAGGAGGGTTTGGGTTTCCCACTGGCCTTGCACTCCCAGAGCAGAGAGTCATCGATGGCCTTCTGTGTGTCCTGCGGCGTCTCCAACAGATGAGGAGGTGCTGGGAGTTAACCAGAAGACACAAAATACTGAACATGAAAATGAATTATTAACCGTCAACTTAGTGGGCTGATCATGGGCCATGGTTCATGAATCAGGGGTCTCTATTAGGTCTGGGACCACCTACTGACATAAATCATTACTGTTATTGATAAATATCAAAAACAACAACTATGAAATGGAATGGAATTTATTATTTTTGTCTTTTTATTTTGTATGCTGGAGCACTGCGCCTGCCAATCCAAAATTCCAGGCCTGGTTTTGTCACACTGGAGTGCTGCTACAGAGGAAAACACCATTAGAAACAGTATCTTCCATGATTAATGACAGTCTGAGTTGATTTCTATAGATTTAATGCAATGAAACCTTCACATCAAGTACAATGTGAGAAGACGATGAAGAGGGAAAAGGAATCGATTCATTGTGTAGTGAAGATGAAGCTGTCATTTCTTTTAGCCAGTGCAAGCCAAAGATGCAGATGCTGATTATCAGCCCATTCTGCTTTAATTAAGAAAAGAGCACAAGGAACTTCTTTAGTTGCATTAAAATGAGCGAACAAACTACCAGCCATTAACTCTGATGTGAAAGACATCAATATTGTTCGTGTTTTTTGTTGTTTTTTTATTTTTTTTTATTTTTTTTTCTTTAAAAAATTAAAATACCTTAAAGCTTAAAAGGCCGTAAAATACCCATAGTATCTATGTACAATAATAATAATAATAATAATAATAATAATAATAATATTAATAATCTCAACTTACATAGCGCCTTTCACAAACCCAAGGACGAAAAATGTCGAAAAATAAAATAAATAAAAAATCTAAAAGACTAAAGAGAAGAAAAAAAGGAAGGTTTTAGCTGAGATTTGAAGGAAGACAAAGAAGAGCAATCACGAAGAGTGGAAGGTAGAGAATTCCAGAGTTTGGCAGCAGCAGCACTGAAAGATCTGCCACCCATAGAAGAAAGTCTAGTTGAGGGAACTGTGAGGAGTCCAGCATTAGAGGATTGGAGAGCACGAGAGGGAAAATAAAATGAAATGAATGTATCACAATAATGAGTCCCAGCCCCATAGATAATGATGACTGATCAGTACTGACTGCACATTGTAAAGGGCAGCTGCTATTTTCAAATTATGTTCAAAAATTTAATATAAAAAAAAATAAAAATACAAGGCTTTGTTCCAACAATAATGATATACAGGTCAAAAACCGTGTCTATAACCTGGTAATTATAAATGTCTCATAGCAGCAGAATGAAAAAAATGTGATGCAGACTAGCCAAGTCATGAGCGACTTTATCACAATGAGTGAGGTGTCACTGTGTTATAATCAGCTGTGCATTGATCTGCGAATCATTCATTAGAACTTCAAGGCAGCACAGACATTAGTGATGTTCAATTTGTTACGTTCATCAGTGTTAATGGCATCGTTAATGAATATGTTAATGACTGGTTTGAGGTGTTTGAGGTAACTGAAGAAAGATAAAGATTGACCAATATATGCTCAAATAACGTACATGTGCTGAAAAAGACAGCACAGTTTGCCTACATATGAATAAAAAACAATAACACTGCAATATTCTGAACGTAATTATTGATTTTTTTTTTCCATTTAAAATCAAGCCATCAGGTTTCTAAAAACACGCTGCTTCACAGTTGGTGTGAATGTAAAACACAGTGACTGTATTGTGATGAATGAACAACATACCACAAACTGTGAGTGAGTCTGAAATGCAATTATTCAGCAAGATTACTTGCTAAATCTCTCATGTTTCATAGCAAAATGAGCTGTAACTGAATAATATTCTAATATTGATCACTGCAGAGCACCATAACATTGATGGACAGCTCACAAAATTATGCCTATGGGAGAAAAGCAAAGTTAATTGTGGCCTAATGTGAAAATCCATTCTCTCAAACAACACTGTACACTGCGGGAGGATAATACATAGTTATCATGTAAATAAACACCTAAATCCTAATAGACACAACAACCAGACAGGGTCTAAAATGCTACCACTATTCAACCTACCGTAGAAAGAAAGCTTTCCTTTGACAGAGTTTTTCCCTCTGGAGTTCTCTGCCACACATTCGTACTGGCCAGCATCCTCCTGCTGGAAGTAGGGGATTTCTAGCAGACTGCTAGCTCTGCTAACATCCACTTTTCTGGAGAATGGTGCCCCATCTACTCTTCTCCAGCTGATAGCAGGAACCGGGCTAAAGACAAGAGGCACAGCAGGGTAAGAAAACAGTGATGGATATTTTAGAGATATCCAACATATTTATACATCACCAACAGCATAAATATCTCATAAATGAGAAAGTACTTAAACTAATAAATAAGGTTGTGGTGGCTAGTGAATAATTAGCACGTAATGTCACATGGCTTTTATGTGTATAGCATGTATGTGTTATATATTATGCATGCATGATGAATTATTTCATGCAAATGCATGGTTGGAAAGCACATCCACTGTAATTTACTTACTTTCCCAGTGCAAAGCACTCCAGCTTGACGGTCAACCCCTTGGCTACAGACAAGGCCTCAGGGAACTGAACTTCAATCTTTGGCTCATATTCACCCATAATTCCTGAAAAAAACATTTTATGTAGTGTTAGGAGCCACAGGATTAGCCATTTTTTGTTGTAATAAAAGTCCACTACTCGTATCGCCTGTGACAAAAGCATGGTGCAATTTGATATTAAAGAGGAATTCCACTGATATCTGCAAAATTAAATTGATAATAGGTAAAAAAAGAGTCATATTAGAGTGGTCTGATGTGAATGCTCTGCTCTAGAGAAACCCGAATTATTCACAGCAGTAGTGAAGAACAGACAGGAAAACATCTGAAGTATTTAAAGCCTCTAAAACACCACAAAATGCTATAACATGAAATGTTATATGTATATAAAATTTGATGTTATCAAATGTCTTGCCTGATTCAAGAGACATAGTTCTGATGCGAAAGTTTTTGCATAAAACATTTTTAAATCTTATTTAAATGAACATTTAAATGATGGAGATGTGGATAGTGAGGTAGAACAGTATCCAAACTGTAAGTTTGTAAGTTTCTTGTCAGTGCATCATTTCACAACAAACCACTCTGAAGGACTTTGTTTACACTTCAAATTGAATCATGCAGAAATTCAGAAAACTGAAATCCTACTTTACCTATTTCTTATTAGCTCACTGCGGAAAAACTCCAGAGTGTGGATTCTAAACTATCAAGCGATGCGCTGAGCAGAAGAGGACATTTTTGTCTGAATTTGATTAAAAGTTACTTTTGTGCATACAGTCTTGTTTTGTGGAAAGAACACCATCCTTTCCATCTGCCACATTTTGTCTTTGCCTGGCCTCAAAACAAATTGAAAAACAGTGGCAGATTCGAGCTTTTCGCAAACTGAAGAACGCAAATGGATAATTAATGGTGTGACTTACTATGCAACTGAATATGCAATGTGCAGTAATGTGAAAATAGCTTTACCATCACTTCGTAGAACTAGCGAAGTGGGAGGTCCCTGGACTCTAGATTTGGTCACCATGTTGGTCACCACACAAGTGTAATTCCCCACATCTGATGGCTCCACTTTAGCGATGTAAAGGTTCCCTGTTTTCTGAGATACAAATCGCCGAGTGTCTTGCTTCACAAATGAGGGGTACTCGTTGAAGATCCATGAAAAGGTCAGCTCTACAGGACGACAGGTGAGGTTTTGAGTAGAATATCAGGCAATGCAGTTATATAGTCTAGTATTAACACATTGGAACATTTTAGCATAACAACCAGACCAATGTCATGAAAAAAGGACAATTATGGTAAAACCAAAGGTAAACATATGCACTTTTAACAGATCAATGATACGGAACTACTCACTATCACACTTTCTGATGACAAGGCTTAAAGATTGATATAGCTTTGTGACAAATTGGTAAGAAAAGCAGGGATTTTATGTGGTATTTATTGAGATTGGAAAGTTTGTCTGGTTTAAACATTAACAGAACTGTATTAAATTGTGTTTTGCATGAATTTGCCTTTTTTAACTATTACAACTTCATCTGTTATTATGTTTAGACTTTAAATACTTATATATTTTCAGCTGAATTGTACACAAACAGTAGACGTCGATCACAGAGTTTACATTTTCATTTGTAGCAGAGATGTGTAGGTTGCTTGTATATTAATAATATCATTAAGTCTCTCAAATGTCTAAATATTTAGCAAAAGCCAAATGCAATTGTTGAGTAAGTGTGACTAATCAATAGCCACAGCACTGTAACTACAAAAAGATCCCATGCTGGAATTTTACAATGACGTCAATTATACACTGGCACACAGCATCACACGGCGCCCTTCAGAGTTATCGTCACAGTTCAGGGGGGAAAGCATTTATTTGTATCCATGTTCTTGTTATACATCTTGTTTTCTGTTTAGTATTAAAAAAAAAAATGTTCACAAGACAAAAACACAATAATACATAAAATTAAAAAAATAAATAAATAAAAACTGTCTTGCTGAAATAAAACCATGACCCCAGTTTTATCCTTTTGGAAGAAGCAGCCAGATTTTGATCTAAAATCAAACGTACTTTATATTTCTAATATAAAGTACATTTTATACACACATTTTATATATATTTATTTATTTATTTAGAAAAGACGTGTTTTATTTCTGATGGCCACAATGTTGTGTAATCCCAAAAGATTTCCAAGGCCTTTATAATAAAAACAGCTCTATAATGTTAGCCATCCAAAATCACACTTTATAGTGAAGACTAGACTCTTTAGGCTTGAACTGCATTCTTCTTACACAATATAAACCAATTATATAAAAGTATTTTTTTGGCTTCTCACCATGAAACTTTATACAGAAATGGAAATATATACCAATCAGACTTCACCGAAATCTGTAGTCATTAAGTGTTTACTTTTTTATATGAGAAAAAATTCTGGAGGGCACTCTATACAGATATACACCAATTGGCCACTTAATTAACACCTCCATGTATTTATATTTACTGTCTATTACATTGGCTGCATTTATGATATAGGAGCACTTTGTAGTTCTACAGTTACAGACTGTAGTCCATCTGTTTCTCTGATACTTTGTTAGCCCCCTTTTACCCTGTTCTTCAGTGGTCAGGACCCCCATGGACCCTCACAGAGCAGGTACTATTTGGGTGGTGGATCATTCTCAGCACTGCAGTAACACTGACGTGGTGGTGGCGTTTTAGTGTGTGTTGTGCTGGTCTGAGTGGATCAGTCAGCAGTGCTGCTGGAGTTTTGAAACAACTCAGTGTCACTGCTGGACTGAGAATAGTCCACCAACCAAAAATATCCAGACAACAGAATCCTGTGGGCAGCATCTTGTGATCTTTGGTGAAGGACTAGAGCTTTACTAACACAAACTGTGCAGCAACAGATGAGCTATCGTCTCTGACTTTACATCTACAAGTTGGACCAACAACATGTGTCTATCAGAGTGGACTGTGAGTGGACACAGTGTTTAAAAACTCCAGCAGCACTGCTGCGTCTGATCAACTCGTATCAGCATAACAGACACTAACAGGCCACCATCACGTCAGTGTTACTGCAGTGCTGAGAATGATCCACCACCCACATAATATCTGCTCTGTGGGGGTCCACACCATTGAATTACAGGGTAAAAGGAGGCTAACAAAGTATGCAGAGAAACAGATGGACAACAGTCTGTAACTGTAGAACTACAAAGTGCACCTATATAGTAAGTGGACCTAATAAAATGGACAATGAGCGCAGATATGAGGAGGTGTACTTGATGTAGTGGCTGTTTGATGTACATGACACATTCATTCAGAACCATCGGCCAACTGCGTTTGCACACTGTGGAATTAGACCTCCGCATTTATGCACACATTTACACACACTAGGGGACACACACTTGCCCAGAGCGATGGGCAGCCCTATCCACGGTGCCTGGGGAGCAATTGGGGGTTAGGTGCCTTGCTCAAGGGCACTTCAGTCATGGACTGTCAGCCGAATGGGATCGAACCGGCAACCATCCGGTCACAGGGCTGGCTCCCTAACCTCCAGCCCACGACTGCCCATACAGCACAAAGACTTAGCATTAGGAGGGGGCAACAGCATGTGTTTTGAAAAGGTTTAAGAATTCAATTAATGTAAATGTGTTAAGCACACACAGCTGTGCACACTTTAAAATGCTTTATTTGGTTCCGCACAGAAGACAATTTGACCAGAGGGAGAAAAAAATCTGCGGCACACAGTTCATTAGTCCATTAGTGGTTTTCACCATCTATTTCAAGGGTAAAGGAAGCAGCATCATTTCCAAAAAGCTGTGCACTGGGATGATGGCTGAAAGAAATGGAGCAATACTTTGCAATATGTTTAGCCTTTAACTTGCACACACCTGCAATCTGCAGCCCACACACTGCAAACCTGTCAACGTGTCACAGACATGCAACAAAAATTAGGACAATAAGCTGTTTATATTTCAGACTACCAGTGGCAGGCCTCAGGGGACGACTGTTCAGGATTCTTGAGGCATTTGTTAGGTTTATGTTCCAATGAAATGACAAATTCTTTCAAGAATAACTGTTCTGTGTAATAACGTCGTCAGTCATATTTCTACCACACATTTAATTTCAATTTTTTATGTCCTTAGGCTTATTATTCTGTAAATACATGGAAAATAATGCATACAACCCCATTTCCAAAAAAGGTGGGAAAATGTAAATAAAAACAAATGCGATGATGTGCAAATCATTTAAACCCTATATTTCATTGAACATAGTATGAAGACAACATATCAAATGTTGAAACTGAGAAATTTCAATGTTTTTTGAAAAATAGATGCCCATTTTGAATTTGATGCCAACAACGTGTTCCAAAAAGTTGGGACGGGGGCAACAAAAGGCTGATAAAGTTGTGTAATGCTGAAGAGAAAAAAAAAAAACCTGCTGGTTAATTGGCAACAGGTCAGTAACATGATTGGGTATCAAAAAGAGCATCTCAGAGAGGCGGAGTCTTTCAGAAGTAAAGATGAGGAGGGGTTCACCACTCTGTGAAAGACTGCACTATCAAATAGCGCAACAATTCAAGAATAACGTTTCTCAACATAAAATAGCAAAGAACTTCTGCTTTTCATCATCTACGGTACATAATATCATTAAAAGATTCAGAGAATCGGTAGAAATCTCTGTATGTAAGGGACAAGACCAAAAATCAGTATTTGCTGGCCGTGATCTTTGGGCCCTCAGACAGCACTGCATTAAAAATGGACATGATTCTGTAGTGGAAATCACTGCATGGGCTCAGAAACACTTCTGAAAACCACTGTCTGTGAAAACAGTTCGTCACTGCATCCACAATTGAGTTAAAACTCTAAAACGCAAAGAAGAAACCACCTATAAACAGGATCCAGAAACGCTGCCACCTTCTCTGGGCCAGAGCTCATTTAAAATGGACCGAGGGGAAGTGGAAAAGTGTCCTGTGGTCCGACAAATCAACATTTGAAATTCTTTTTGGAAATCATGGACACTGTGTCCTCTGGGCTAAAGACCACTCAGCTTGTTATCAGTGCACAGTTCAAAAGCCATTATTCATGATGGTATAGCGGTGGGTGATGTGCACATCTGTGAAGGCACCATTAATGCTGAACGATATATACATGTTTTGGCAACATATGCTGCCATCCAGACGACGTCTTTTTCAGGGAGGGCCCTGCTTATTTCAGCAAGACGATGCCAAACCACATTCTGCACTTGCATTGCTCTGTATTAAAAGAGTCCGGGTGATAAACTGACCTGCCTGCTGTCCAGACCTGTCACCACTGATAACATTTAGTGCATTATGAAATGAAAATTACGACAAATGAGACCCCAAGCTGTTGAGCACCTGAAATCCTATATCAAACAAGAATGTAAAAACATTTAACTTTCAAAACTACAGCAGTGTCTCCTCAGTTCCCAAACACTTATAGAGTGCTGTTAAAAGAAGAGGTGATGAAACACAGTGGTAAACAGGCCCCCGTCCCAACTTTTTTGGAAAGTGTTGTTGGCACTAAATGCAAAATGGGCATATATTTTTCAAAAAACAATAAAATTTCTCAGTTTCAACATTTAATATGTTGTCTTTGTAGCATTTTCCTTTAAAAACATGGTTTACATGATTTGCATATCATTGCATTCCATTTCTATTTACATTCTGCACAGCATCCCAACTTTTTTGGAAATGAGGTTGTACGAGTACAAGTTTGGAACCACCAGCATTTCCATGGAGTTTAAGAAACTGACTACAATAACTGCAGTGTTGGACAAAATAAAGTGATAACCAACTTCAGGTGTCTGAGGATAAACTTTATCTAGCAACAAAAATTCTTGATTCAGCTGGGCTTCATTTAAAACAAAACAGATTGTGAAAACTGTACTAACTACAAATTCCATACTACAAGCGAATTTTAAAGTGCTTTTCTCAGTTTCAATGTTGTAGTGGTTACTGCTTTGACTGTATAAAATGCTTAGTTCTGTTCAAACATCTGAAAACAGCTATGCCCCTCGGGAGCCCAAGAGTTCACTTTTTATGGTGACAGGTTGTCTTAAGTCAATTACCTACTGTTTTTTTCCCATTAAAAAAGTTATTTGCTCACTATGCATGGTTGCTATTACCCTGAAGGAAGCATGTAACTGTATATTTGAA